TTCTTCCATGGGCCCATTCTGCCCAGTTAGCTGGTGGGCTTCCCCTCATGTTCACATCTGTACGATGGGGTCAATACCCGCCCTGCCCTCCTCCTGGGCTATTGGGAAGGCCCTGCTGTGACAGGGCTTCTGAGCGCAGGGAGGTGACAGTGGGGACAAGAGGGAACGGGAATCTGTGGGGAGAAGCTGATCCATTTCCTCTTCTTCCCCCCAGGAGTGCCACAGGCTGGTGGATGGGGAGCCCTTCCACCTGCACTGCTTGGCAGCCGTGTGTGGCTGTGCCCCTGGCAGGGACTGCCTGTGCCCAGTGCTTGCTGCCTATGCTCGCCGCTGTGTCCAGGAGGATGCCCCATCTCCCTGGAGCAGTGGTCGGCAAACTGCGGCTCGCGAGCACATGCGGCTCTTTGGTCCCTTGAGTGTGGCTCTTCCACAAAATACTGATTTCTGCGCATGGGCCACGAAGTTTCAATCGCACTGTAAGCACGCGCCTGCACGTGGTATTTTGTGGAAGAGCCACACTCAAGGGGCCAAAGAGCTGCATGTGGCTCGCGAGCCGCAGTTTGTCGACCACTGCCCTGGAGGAACCAGACCCTCTGCCGTGAGTCAGCTCAGCCAGCCCCCAATTTCCAGTCTCCTCCTCCCAGCTAGAAGGGATCCAAGAACTCTGAGGGGAGTTGGGGGTGGGGCCTCAGGAGGACCTCTGACCTTGCAGATTGCTGGCTTACCTTCTTTCAGAGGCATAGGAGGTGGTGGGGGGCCCAGAGGGGTGGGCAGAGCAGCAGTGGCTATGCCCCTGACCTTCTTGTGTCTCTGTGCCCAGCTGTCTTGTGTCCTGGGGGCCAGGAGTACCAGGATTGTGCCCCAGTGTGCGGTCAGAAATGTGGGGAGCCAGAGGACTGTGGGGAGCTGGGTGGCTGTGTGGCTGGCTGTAACTGCCCCTTGGGGCTGCTGTGGGACCCTGAGGGCCAGTGTGTGCCCCCAAGCTTGTGCCCCTGCCAGCTTGAAGCCCGTCGTTATGCCCTTGGCAGTGCCACCATGAAGGACTGCAGCCGCTGGTGAGGGCAGCAACCTTTGTGGGGGTGAAGGCTTGGGGGTGAGGAGATGGAACTTAGAGAAAAGGGCTTGTAGCCAGGTGGGTTTCAGCATGGCATGCCCGTGGGGATGACATAGCACTGATAACTGTTACTCAGTGGAGCACGTTAATGTACATGATCTTATTCAATTGTCCTTAATTCCTACAATAACCTAGGGAAGTAGGAAGTAGAAGAATTGTTCCCATTTTGCAGGTGAGGAAATGGAGGCTCAGATAGGTTTAATGGCTTGCAGAGTCACACAGCTTGTTCATGATGGTCTAGAACCCAGACCTCTGGATTCCAGTTGAGTGTGGTCCAGAGGCTCTTCCAAGGGTTAGGGAGAAGTAAAAGCAAGTTACAAAGCTATGGAGGCGGGGCCAGGGGCCAGGGCTTGGTGGGTGAATGTGAGACTTCAGTGAGATCCCCCTCCTACCTGGGCTGGGAGTGGGAGGTTCACTATCTCTGCCCCTCCCCAGAGCCGGGGTGACAATATCTAGCCCAAGTATGGCTGGGTACTGGGAACAGCCCCAATCCCTGTGCTTGTAACAACTGGGGTGTTGGGGGAGGACACTCAGATCTCTGGAGTAGACGTTAGGGGCTTGGGACCCCTGGGTTCCTGAGCCTCTCCCAGGTCAGACCAGGCCCCTGGAGATGAGGCCAGCCTTCGACTGCCTCTTCCCTTCCTTCTGTGTCCGAGGTGTGTGCCAGGACAGGGGCCTCTGGAACTGCAGTGATCGCCGCTGCACCCCTCAGCGGGCATTCTGTCCCCATGAGCTTGTCTATGCCCCTGGTGCCTGCCTCCTCACCTGTGACAGCCCCAGTGCCAACCACCTGCCCCCCAGGCAGCACAGGGGACTGTGTCTGTCCCCCAGGCACCGTGTTGCTGGTAAGTCTGGGGGGAGCTGCATAGGGCACTGCCCTGCCCCCCTGGCTGTCTGAAAGTGTGGGTGGGGCATTGGGTTGTCCTCTAAGGTGCCCCTTTGTCCCTGGCCTCTGCCCAGGATGAGCGCTGTGTGCCTCCTGAGCTCTGTCCCTGCCGCCACGGTGGCAGGTGGTATCCACCCAATGCCACCATCCAGGAGGACTGCAACATTTGGTATGCCCAGCCCTGTGACCTGTAACCTTTGACCTTGTGACCCCTGGCTTGGGGCTGAAGCAATGGGTGGGGTGGGAGGACCAGACTGCTTGGGCAATGGGAGTCCTCCAGGATCCCCAAGCTGAGGGTCTCTCTGGAGTTGCTTGGAACCTGACCAGTTTTCTCCCCTGGATACAGCTGCCGATCCCTGTCCTCGTGACTCTGTTTCCTCCTTCCCCTTGCCCACAGCGTGTGTCAGGGCAGGCAGTGGCACTGCATGGGCCAGCGGTGCGGTGGACGGTGCCAGGCATCGGGTGCCCCCCATTATGTGACATTCGATGGGCTAGCCCTCACCTTCCCTGGGGCCTGCGAATACCTGCTGGTGCGAGAGGCCAGTGGCCAGTTCACAGTCTCGGCCAAGAACCTGCCCTGCGGGACCAGCCGCCTCACCTGCACCAAGGCACTGACCGTGCGGCTGCAGAGCACCGTTGTCCACATGCTCAGAGGTGACTGTGACATTGAAGGGTGGCGTTGCCAGGGAGGGGCACGCTGGATGGCCTCACAGTTCTACAGGGGTGGCTGAGGCCCGGTCTCTCCATGTCTTCTCTATTTGTATCAGTGCCGTGCAGCTGGCTGGGAATCATCATTCTGGAAGGCTCTAAGAAATTAAGGCCCAGAGAGGGCTCATGGCCTGCCCAAGGTCACGTAGCTAGAGAAGCAAAAGGAAGGTTGGAGGGGAGGCTGGAAGGACCCCATGGGGATCTGGGAGGCCCCATACTCCAAGGCCGAGCCTGATGGCCTCCCTCTTCATCCAAAGGCCGGGCAGTGACAGTGAACGGGGTGAGTGTAACATCCCCTAAGGTCTACACAGGCCCTGGGCTGAGCCTTGGCCGGGCTGGCCTCTTCCTGCTTCTCACCACCCGCCTGGGCCTCTCCCTGCTCGGGGATGGAGGTCAGGCCCCATCCCTCACCCTCTGACCCTCCCCTGCCTTACCCAGGGGTCTAACCCCCCCAGACTCCTCCTCCCTACAATTGGTTAGAGTTTTCAGTGGTCAGAGTTGTGTTCCTGTTACTTATGAAATCAGCACCTCCTCACCGAAGAAACATTTAGAAAATACCAAATTTCCTAACAACCCACCACCCAAACAAAGTGGTTGGTGTTTTAGAAATGACTGTTACTGAGAAACTGGAAACTAAAATAACCCCGCATGTGGGAAGGAGTCTGGTGGTCAGCACAGCCGGGCTGACATCTGAGCCTCCAGCCACAAGTCCCCTGGGGCTGGTGGGTGTCACAGTCTGACCTGGAGCCTGGCTGGAATCTGCCCATTTGGAGAATTTTCCTGTCCCCCAACCTGGGTGTAGTTTAGGGGGAGTACGCTCCCTCACTCCCCTAAAAAAGAGAGTGAAGCAGCGCCTCCTATTGGGTGGCGGTACTCATGCAGTGGTCATGCGGCCCCAACAATAGCGTCCTTGGTCTTATCCCTGCTC